ATGTATAGATCCCCACCGACGTCTACAAACCGCTTGATGCCAATGTGTCGGTGTGTTGCTTGGTCCTGTCGAGAAGCCCAGGCCAGGTATGCCATTCTTGCCCCAGTCGACATTGTCAAGCGTCTTTACATCTTGTGAGCTGCCAGAGTGAATGAATATCGTGTCGAACCAGATCGCAATCGCTTGCAGGCACGCTATATCGCGTTCAATTGTCATCCTCAAAGGAATCTTGAAGCTGAGATCCTGCACCGAGACAGTCTTCATTTCTAGTAAATGCGAGGTCGCAGTCCCACAAAGCGCCTTCTCTGGTACATCAAAGACACCAATCTCGTGCCTGTTGAGCAGACCACCGGGAATCATGGGTGAGAAGTCAAAGCCGTAGACGTCTTTCCAGAACTTCTCGCTCGTGCTATCCGCTATCCAATCTGCATCTGAGATGGGTGCGAGGCGGATATTGCAATGACTTGGGACCAGGATGCCGTCTGGCTTGAGATACATGTCTCGTGCGCGAAGTACCGAGTCGAGCATGCCTTCGAAGAGCAGACCATACCCCATCCATTCCGAGATGATGATATCGACCTTCTCTTTACCAATTAGGCGCTGCGTGTTGAAGTCCTCTACGCGTCCTTGGATGACTTCAATGCGATCAGCGTACCCGTTTTTGGCAATGATCTCTTTTGCGCGTGTGACGATGCCCGAATTATCGACTGCAAAGACCTTCTTCGCGCCTGCACGTGCACTAAAGAGAGAGAGAATTCCGGTTCCGCATCCAACATCGAGGACAACTTTGTCTTTGAAGACTTCGAGGTTCTTCTCGATGAAGTCGCGGTAGCCTTCAGTTCGTACACGATCTTCAATCATCTCTCGGTGGATACTGTTGCCTTTGTACGATTCAAAATAGTCCTGGTCACGATCGCTGGTGAGTTTGATGTGCGACAGGTCCTCTGGCATGTCTTTGTGCAGTGCCGCTTCGAATTCATCGTAGTCAACCGCTTTCGTATCGCTATCTGGCATGAGCTCCCCAAGTTCGAACAATAAGGCGTCATCTTCCAGTACGGGTTGCAGAAACTTGTCGTCGGAGAGATCTTGAAATGAGATGCTAAGTAATTTACTGTCTGTGCCCTTCTTTGCTTCTGCACGCAGGTAGTTGACCAGCTTGATGATTGTGAGTTCATCTGCATCTACCCTTCTAGTCAGTAGTGTCCCAAAACAGTAAGGCGCTAGTAGTTTCTGTGATAGAACTGACCAGATCCTAAGCCCTTGATCGTCTCATGCAAATCGAATGAATGCTCTGACTTGCAGTGCGCAGTCAGATCCGAGATGCTGCTCAATTGCTGATCGCAAAACAGGCATTTGAAGCTAGTTGTATCTGGCTCGCTTGCATCCTCCACGATGCTGCCCACAGAACTCGCCGTGTCTGAATCGCTGTCCGCCATGTTGAGTGGAGAATTTTGATACCGACGGTATAGTTGTCTCGCTAACAAATTTATATGAAAGACTGTTCTTGGTAGGTTCTCAAGTGAGAGTGTACCTATCCAGTTGCCTGGGTAAAGAAAGTTCTGCTGTTAGTGTTGTTTTTGTGGGCGAGGCTGCGGGGTAGGTCTGTAGCGCTTTCCGTACTCAACACCACGCCTTGGTAGTGATGTATCACGAATTTACCTCTTATCTTCCATTTCATGTGATATTATGAAATGGCCTTTTGTATGTGAAGGTACTGGGCTGTACTGATGTGTTGCTTCACTATCAACTACCTCTACGCTACCTACCCGCATATAAAATGTCCGACTCGATACCATTTATGATTCTTGGATTATCACACTCACCCTATTACGATTACCTCTTTCTACTAATGTGGTATGTGACTCGGAACAAATCTACGATTTGATGAACTGTACACTGTGCAAGAACAAGCCGACCTCGATGCTATGGTCGCATTAGATACAGCCATAGACATCGCCGTGATGTCTAGACAGCTCGAGGCCATCACCCTCATCGCTTTTGAAGAGCCAATCTAGATCAATTTCAACATGCTTGTCCACAAATCCCGCCTGTCTCATGGTACATGCCTTGCAACTAGATGTGTCCCCGGTCATGAAGACCAGCTCTTCCGGGACAATTCTCAGAACTGGGCAAGGCTATTCACTACGCATGACTATACTCAACGTGGAAGAAGGTGTTTTTGGGTGCACATGGTGCTAGGTTTTATAGCTCAATCTTGATCTCTAGATCTATTTAGTTTATGATATATTACTGTTTTGATCCTACCAGGAATGTTACGTAAAAATGACAGAGCTATGTGTCAAAATTGCTAGATCTCATATAGCTTGTGATAGTCATGAGCTGCCATATGCAAAGTATTCGTGATATTTGCGAGCAACGAAACCGCCCTAGATGTGTATCATAATTGTAGCAGCATGATCGCCATTTTCAACGCTCTAGTCATACGCATTGTGATGATCCTTAGCTTTCCTTACTCAATCATGTTTGGTCTGCGTAGGCAGGGTTTCGATTTATCATTCTCCCAAGGTGTTCCGCTTTTATTAGCACTTTAAAGGTCGCAGCTGATACGCTCTTGATTGTCCATTTGCAAGTGTTTACCATATGGTACGAGACTATCACAACAATATCTTCTACTCTCCTAGCTATGCGGATACGATTGTTTCCAACGGACAAATGAGGTCGGGAACAGCATCGTTGTGCCAGATGTACCCAAAGACAGTGGCGCACCAGTATGATGAGCTAAATGGCTAGCGAGCGCCACTGAATCCTGTGGATTGAACTCTACAGCCGCCCTCGACACCGTGTCGCGAGCAAGATACTTATCCTCATTTTAGCTTACGTCTTGCATGAAAATTTGAATCGCATTGCAGCTGACTTGATTATAGAGCATCGCCAAGAACTGCTGGACGGTCTTCCCTCATCACCCCCCGTCAAGATGCCACCAAAGCGGAAAGCCGGCCTGCACTCAATTCAATGACTGCCAAGTTGGCTGGATCAAATGAGGATCTTGCACCAACGGATGGATGGAATCGCAAGCCACAAAGCACTACTGCGATCATCAGACTCAGAAGCGAGGCTGCTGCGCCTTGCAAGGCAGCATCGAATGTACGCGGTGTCACGACTCTCCAAAATGTATACAAGACATTGCCCTGCCAGATTTCTTTCTGCTTAGAGTACAAGATCATCTGGATAATTACCTGGGCTCAATCTACGTTATTCTTCGCATCCTCACATGATGCATCTACTTCTGAGAGCAGTTCTGTTAACCGCCACAGCGACAGCGCAATTGACAACATCCTTCTGGGCCCCATTATTTCCTCTGGGAAGTGACAAAATTGGTTATTACGGCTCCGTAATCAATGCAAATGCCAGTCATACCACCTATTTCTTAACATTCGACAACGGCACCGACTATACAGCATTGGGCTATGGTTATTCCAACCAAACCATGACCGTTGGGCCCAATATCTACGAACAGTCCACGACCGTGAACTTTGGAGTCCCAAGACCAGTCACAGGAGTCGATATGAACGCCTACATTCTGCGCTGTGAGAGAGAGGACAGGACGAACGCAAACGCAAACGCAACCTGCACCGCTAGCTACGGCCCAAATTACGTCTACGCAATGGCCTGCGATGTTCCACGGACGGGTACTGAGACGCAGGTCTGGAGCCGGACGATAACCCACAGCGGCCGTCTATCGTACTCTGCTGGTGTCGAGACGATTTTACAGACATATATCCTTTTGCCCGACACAGAGCCTGTGCCCGCATGGTGTGAAGAGGGCCCAGGTGTGCGTACAGTAGGGTCGGCCACGACTTTCGATGCCCTGCCAACCAGCTTTGGGACGTTCCAGGTTGTGGTCACAGCGGGTTTAGAGAAGCTGGATGCGACGCAAGGAGCAGGTGTGACGGCGTCGAGCGCACAGCCGACAGCGACGGGCCCACCTAGTGGTGCTTCCTCTGTCGCGGGAAGCTCTGGGCTCCCAGAGGCAACTGGGGCAGCTGTAGCTTTACGCATGCAGGGCGGCGTGGTGATGGGATTGGGAGTGGCGGCCGCAGCATTGGTAGTTCAAGACATGATTAGGTATTGTGGCATACGCGCACTCATCTCTTGATTTGTGCTCTAGCTAGGTAGCTTAACCTCAATCGAGTCCGGAGGAAAGAGACATACAGCATTGCAACCGCGGTTCCAATCATCATAGTAGCACAGAAAACACCACGAGACAATTGTGATGGGGTAAATAACTTTTGGTATATTTCCAAGCCGCTGTGCGTATACACCTTGTCAACGCGAAAGCAAAGATTCATTGAAGTCCCGTCATCGTATTTGAAACGCTTAGAGGCATACAACCTTTCTTTTTCTCTGGTCTTTTTCTCTGGTCTTTTTCTCATGAAACATCATCCATAATGCACAGCGGGCAAACCCGTCGTTTGCAGTCGCAGCGTATTGCCATGAACATTGCAAGCCAATCGACATGTAGTTAAAGCGAGACATGTGTTAGTATCTGGTACAAATGCTACTGTATACTATCTCCCAAATCTAGAGGCTTTTAATGGGACATGAAACGGGAGACACATAGATATGCAATAGGAGACAGACGGATTCAAAGACACTATTTGGCGACGACGGTGTGTGTGTGATAGAGAAAGAAGAGAGACGATGAAGTGAGGGGAATTAAACCTATGTGTAAAAAACGTAGACAAGACTTGAAATCCTCAGCTGCAAAGGTCCGATTTCCCATCAGCATATGAAATATTCCATAAAAAAACAAAAAAACTTCTAACAGAAAAAAAAGTTGCATGATGCAAATTCAAATATCCTAACCCGAGCACGTATCTCGCAGAGATTATACCATCAGCATGTGAACAGCTTGCTCCATTTTCCAACGCTCCAACGCCCAAGCCCAATCTATCATGCTCAGCGATACTCATTTGAATTATACGACGGCCGATTGGTCTGGTATCCGCCTCCCCTACCGCCACGATTGCCACCCCTACCACCACCACCACCTCCTCCCCGTCCACCCCTGTCATCGCGAGGTTGGCTGTTATAAGCATTCCCGCCTGCGCCCTGGTACCCTCCGCCTCCGCCTCCGTTCCTCCCTAATATTTCATCCGCAGACCGATAGAATCTCTCGTCTCTTAATGAATTGTTGCCAGGTGGTCCACGTGGTGGCGGTCCACCATGCTGTTGCTGATTCGTGTTGCCCATCCAGGTAGGTCGCTGGGCAGCTGGTGGGGGTACGTAACCGCCTTGAGGCGCACCCTGCCAGCCTCCAGCGATGTTGGGCGGAGGAACCCAACCTGGTGGTGGAGGAGGTAGGAAGTTCGGGCTGCCGGCTTGAGGAGGCCACGCGGGGAAGGAAGACGGAGGAAAGTTTGGCTGTTGACTGCCATAACCACCACCGTTGTTATATCCACCGCCTTGATTGTTGTAGCCACCCCGACCACCGCCATTGTTGTACCCGCCGCGCCCGCCACCGTTGGCATTATTGTAGTTGTCATTACGATTGTTGTTGTCGTAGCCTCCTCGGCCTCCTCCGCGACCACCTCCTCCACGGCCGCGGTATCCGCCTCGTCCGCCATTGCGCTCGTTAGCACGTCGTACGGACTCGGCTTCGCCTGGACTGAGGGCTGGCTTGGGTAGTTTGCACCCTTCGAGGAGGACTGACCTGTGGGCGCGGTTATGGCTGAGACTTGGCATTTCGTAATATACTCTGTGCGTTCGTTAGTAAGACCTTGTAGGCATACAGGAACACAACTTACCTCATTGAGCGATCTTGGACAATCTCAAATTCGCTGTCTCCATCAAGATCAAAAGGCGGGACCAATTGACTGTCCATCACAAACATGTCGTGCGGTGCCATTTCACCGTGCAGGGCTCTACTCTTTGCTGGATCGATGACGTGCTTCTGTTGGCCCTTGCGATATAGAGCCTTTTCCACATCATCGAATAGACCACTCTCTTGCGAAAACATCAATGTTTCTTTACCAAACTCGTTACGCTTTCTCTCATCGTCTGTAAGTTCGGGGTACTTCGTAGCCATAGCGGCAAGGAGTCGTTTCTCGTCAATGAACGGCAAGATAGCTACACCCTGCCATGCGAATTTCTTGCCATTGAGATCAATAGGAAAGTCAACTGGGTAGAAATCGATAATCGGACTGTCCGCATCTGACATGAGGGGGCGGAAAGGCTCAGGAATGGCGTGGTTCGATGCTGCGGGCAAGACACCCATCAACTGCTCGTACGGATGGAAGACGGTCCCCTTCTCAAAGAGCTTACGTGGGTCCATGTCTTCCAGACCTACGAAATCGGCCGCAAAGGGGGCGTAGTGATGTGGGAAATACCACGTCCACGAAGGGCAACCTTGCATGTAGTATGCCAGGACCCAGCAAAGGCCCTCAGCATACTGACGTGCGACTTTGTTACGAAAGGCAATATCGTTGGGGTCGACATGGAACTTTTGCTCGTAGTAACGCTCTTCGTAGCCAGGCTCCCATAGCTTGATTGTGTCCTCGGGAGTCTCGTCGGCATTCGTTTTTGGAGTTTCTGCTGGCGTATCAGGGACAACAGGCGTGGTTCGTCCGGGCGTGCCGTTGTCAGCGTCCTCTATTTCATCGGCCTTGCGCTTGCCAAGATTCACAGGCGTCTCAGCGCCAGAGGCAGATTCCGATTCTGCCGGCGTCTCGCTCTCCGGTGCACTGGTGCCTGCGGCTTTCGCCTGCATTTGCTCCTTCAATCGTGCTGCGGCGCTTTTGTTCGAGGTGTCTCGTATGTGGAGCATGTCGTGGTGGACAGCGCGTACTGCGTTGGACTGTGCTTCCTTGGGGTCGAAGAATACAATGCCTGAGTTGGTGTACGTATCTGTACTCTCTTTGACGGGCCTAAATCCCGGTGTGATGCCTGCATCCTCGTCACGACGCTGGCGTTTGTTACCGTTATGGTAGGCATCGCGCGCCTCACGCCTGGCTCTATTAGCAGCCTGACGATCAGAGACTTCCTTGCGTTTCTTGAAGATATCAGCCTCTCTACTCGCAAGAGCTGAGAGAATCTGCTGTACACGGCGCATGTCTGGGAAGCCATCTTTGGTGACATAGTCATCCATTTCGGCTGCCAGGTCACGCCAGATACTGATAAGCAAGTCGATACCTTGATCTCGAATCTCTAAACTGGGCAGATGAGGCAAGAAGTCATTTCCGACGAAGAAACACATAAACACCCAGTCATCGAGCGAGCGCTCTAGATCGTACTTGAACTTGCGCTTCGGCGTGTCCATCTCCACAGCCAGGTACTCTCGCAAAATGTTGGTGTGCAACCAAATGAAGGGCTTGAGTTGATGCTCCGAGTTGGCCCACTCTTCAGCAGCCTCCTCCTCGGTGAGCTTCTTCCCATCATCCGGAAACTCACAGTTGTTGCGAATATGGCCCTTGCGCCCACAACGTGTGCAGGTTTTATCCTTACCAGAATCGTAGAAGACGTCTTCTCTGAGAACACGGAAGTGAGGTTCATGAGTTGCAAGACTCAACATGATTAAATCGGCATCTAGACCGTAAATGACATGCGAGGTGTTGGGGTCATGTGTAGGCATTGAACGCTGAGAGCGAATAAAGTTCATGATTTTGTGTTCTCCTTCACCCGGCACGGACGAGTCTGAGATGATGACTTTCATGTCCTTCCATGAAGGATCTGTCGTGAATTTGTATGCACACCAGTATTGGAGACTCTCAGCAAGCAAGTGCATGAACGGTGTGCCAGGTGTAATTGCGTTTGAGTCCCAAGTCTTCTCTACAACTTGTTCAAGACTTGTCACGTCTTCTCCGCGACTCGCCTTTTGCGCAGTGAGAACCTTCTGGAACTCGGCGCGCTCGACATCCTTTTCCGCCGCTTCTCTCGCAGAACGGAAACGACGCGAACGCTGTTGGTTCATTTTGGCGCGAGGTGCGACACCATCGACAGCCATGTAGAGCAGCTTGCGTGGCCGGACCATGCCGACACAGCGGTCAGTGTACTCAAATATGGCCATCATCATATCGGCCTCAGTCTTGGGCGCAGCTTTGTCTTCGGGATGCGAACATGGGTGCACAATGCCGTTCATGTCGAGGTACAAGTTGTCGAATTCTTCGCCGTTGGGGTTGGGCCCACAACGGTCTACAGGGATGATCTCGTCGCCCACTTTCTTGGGCAACTCTTCCTGAACGGTCGATACAATCTTGGGGTATTTCTGGCTGAGCCAGCGAAACATAGCGGGGACACCCATGACGGCGACGGGCGCTGGCGTGCGCGCGGTGTGGAAAAGGTGGAGGTGTAGGTGTAGGTATAGGTGTAGGGGGAGTTGGTGGTAGAAGCTGAGTAGTAGAGTAGTAAGGCGACAGCGGTGAAGGTGTGAGCAGGTGTACTAGAAATGTTCTGGAAATCTTCTAGTACTGGAGATGCTACGAGAGATGCGATAGGGCTGCTAGCAAGGCTATGTCGATGAGCTTGCAGCCTGAAAGAAAGAAACAGCCTTGGGGAGGCGCAAAAGGGAACGGAAGCGCGGCTGTCTAGTCACGGGCAGTGTCCGACGGGATGACCGACTATCCTGGAGTCACCGAGTTGCAAGGCGCACTGCACTTGAGTCTCGGACAGGGTGCGATTCGGTTTGCGATGGTGTTTTGCGACTGGAGAGAGAAAGGTTGGGAGGAAGAGCATTGGGCGAACTAAAAGTATGGTTGAAGATGAATGCCAAGATTTCGGAGGCCGACGTATTGCCGGCGCAGCAGCCAGGAGCTGAGTGACAGGGATGTTTTTGGTTCCAGGGACGTCCGACCCTTACCGGTATTATAGAGTACGTGGAGGGTCCACATGTCGACGACTGGGAGAGACCACGCCGCAACAGACGACGATACACTTTAGCAGAAAAAGTAGGAAGGCATTCATTTCGACCCGTCACTACGCATAACAACAACTCTCACACTGGACACTGGAAGCTCGAATACCTATCCGCAATGGACTTGTAGTACCCAGCCTTTGACCATTCGCAAAGATGATGCGCGTACTGGAGGCCAACGCGCCTCCCAAGCAGACGGCTACCGACACAATCAGCACGCTCAGTAGTCGACTAGCAAGCGCAACACTCCTTGAAGATCGCCGCGCTGCCATTCTTGGTCTTCGGAGCTTTGCAAAGGAATACCCCGCCTCGGTAGCCTCTGGCGCGCTCCGTGGGCTCATCGAGGCCATCAGCAAAGATGGAGACGACGTCGATACACTCAAAGTCGTCTTGGAGACACTTCTGATGCTCTTTCACCCAGACGAAGACAGCGTATGGATGCTATTCAGAAATGATTTAGGAAAAGACTGACCGAGTGGACAGCCTGAAGCATCAGAGGAGATAGCTTTGTGGCTGGCAGACCAGTTCTCACAAGTATGCACTTCCCCACCACGTACTTACTAGAGCTGAGCTTATGATAGCGGCAAGATAACATAACTCTCCTCGCCGACCTTCTCGGAAGACCTGACTTCTACTCACGCCTATACTCGCTACAACTCATACGAGCTGTCGCCCTCGCACGCCCAGAACGAACACAAGAGTGCATTCTTGCTGCCCCAGCAGGTATAGAGAACCTCGTCGCTGTGCTGGATGACCCGCGTGATGCCATTCGAACCGAGGGACTCGTGATTTTGACTGACCTAGCGAGGTCCTCGACGGAGCTACAAAAGCTGTTCGTTTTCGAGGATGCATTTACCAAGGTCTTCAATATCCTCCATGCAGATGGAGGACTCACACAAGGCGGCGTAGTCGTGCAAGATTGCCTCAGTCTCCTGGCCACCCTCGTTCGCTTCAACGTGTCCAATCAAACCAACATTCGAGAGATGGGCCACGTTGCTAGATTTGCTGCACTGCTTCCTGGCGGTAAGAAGCCTAAGAAAGCGCGGACAAGCATGGAAGAGGAGGATGACTGGGTTAGTCCGCAGAGCGACAAGAACATCTGGGGTTTGTTGGCCATCATGCGCATGTTCCTCGTCAAGGGTGCTGCAGGCACGATGCAGAACCAGAACGTCTTCCACCAGAACGGTCTCCTGCGACAGCTACTCAACATGGCATTTGATCCTGCGACAGCTATGCCTATCAAGGTCGAGGCACTCAATACATGTGCCGACTTGATTAGGGGGAATCCCAGGCTACAAGAAGGTTTTGCTCAGGAGCAGGTTCGACCCATCATCGAGCCTACGACCAATGGCGCGACCTCGCCCAACGGAGCTGCTTCGGTCTACGTCATTGAGGCATTGCTAAATCTAGTCCTCAGCGCCTCGCCCCCTGATATGTTTGATCTGCGCACCGCCGGCTGTGAATGCATCAAGGCATATTTCTATAATCACATGCAAATACGAGGACATTTCTTGAACCGTGCGATTGGTGGCCATGAGGAGGGCGATGAGACCGCCAACGCATTGACCATCCTGATGGCAGGTTCACAGGCATCGCCAGCCTCCGACCCATATCGAATTTGGTTTGCTGGTATACTGATCTACCACCTGATTTCGAACGATTATCAAGCCAAGGACAACCTCATGGGAGTTAGAGAGGGAGACGCAGAGAGCGGTGAGGAGGTTGTGACCTGCATACAGACGCTTTCTGCGAACTTGATTGCAAGTTTACAAGTTGGCGAGGACGAACGAATACCGATTGCCTATTTGATGGTTCTCTTGGGGTGGCTCTTTGAGGATGCAGCAGCAGTCGATGACTTTCTAGGCGAAGCAAGCACTTTGCAAAGTTTGGTTCAAGCTGTTTTGACCCCCGGAAGCGACAGAGTCATAGTTCGCGGTCTCTGCGCGGCGTTACTCGGTGTCGTGTACGAATTCTCGACAAGAGATTCGCCGATACCGCGACGCGAGCTGCAGCCAGTACTCACGTCCAAGCTTGGTCGTGACAAGTATCTCAATGCCATTACTGAACTTCGACATCACCCATTCGTGCGGGACTTTGAGGTGCTGCCTCGAGGCGGAGGCTCGGGCGGTAGCCTACCTGATGTCTACTTTGACGAATCATTTATAGACTTTCTCAAAGACAATTTCAGCCGCTTAAGTCGCGCAATCGATCGCAATCCGAACATTGAACAACACCAATCACACGATGGTGTTGACCGAGATGTGGTCGATGCGCTACGCGGCGAGTTGAACGAAAAGGACCAGTCTATTGAGGAATTGAAAGCGCAGGTCATGACACTAGAGCAAAAGCTTGATCACGAGCAAGCGGAGTATCGCAAGTCGCAACAAGCAGCCGAAGAGCAACGTAACAGCCTTAAACGCATCAACGACAAGCTACACGATGATCTTGAAAAGCAGGCTATAAGCAAAGATCGTGAGCATAGGCAGGCGATGCTGGAGGTAGAAAACAAATACAACATCCAGATCGTGGCACTCAACAACAAGATACAACAAAGTAGTAAAGAGGCAAATGTGGCTACCACGAAAGTCAGGCAGGAATATGAAGAGAGGCTTCGTGTTGCCAACAAAGCATATTCCGATCTCGAGCGCCGCCTAGAAGCATCAGACAAGGCTCGGCAAGAAGCTGTTGCAAAGGCCAGTGCCCTTGAACAATCGTGTCAGTCTGCACGCAACGAACTTGCCACAGCCATTAAGACGCAGCAAAACCTAGAAGCACGCCTCAAAGAAAACGAGACACAAAACAAGAAACTCCAGGATGAAACTACGACTCTTCAATCCAGCCTCGACAAACTCAACTCCGAGACCAAGTCAAACATGGATAAGCTGAAGTCCGACCACCAATCCACCATCGACGAGCTCAATTCTGAACACCAATCCGCCATTGGCAAGCTAAAGTCAGAATCTCAATCCACCGTTGAAAAGTTCAAGTCCGAAATTCAAGAGTTAAAGACTAAGCTTCAAGACCAGACCTGGAAAGTCAAAGACACGGAAGAGAAGCTGCGCAAAGCCGAGAGCAGCGCAAAATCCAGCAATAACAAGGCTGTCAAGGACCTGGAGGCTAAGCTTAAGAAGGCGCAGGAAAGTGAAAAGGAGAAGCAGACTGAGCTGGATGACTTATTCGTGTTGCTTGGAGATTTGGAGGAGAAGAGGAGTAGGGATAAGGTATGTTACTTTGCTGCGTATTCCGTTTGATAGCATGGCTAATGGATACTAGAAACGTCTCAAAGCGCTTGGAGAAGAGGTCTCTGATGGAGAGGATGACGATGACGATGAGGAAGACGACGAGGAAGTCGACGAGGAAGACGAGGAAGTCGACGAGGAAGACGAGGAAGACGATAAGGACGAAGAGTAGAACATTACATGTTATTACCACCGTTCGCCAACTCGACTGTGTTCTTCTTATCTCTCTTCAATGCAACATCAAAATACTAGTCAACCGCATTAATACCCACCAGCCACATTCCCTCCTCCCCTTTCCCATCAACCACGCCACACGACATACATCATAATCACAGTCATCTATCCCCTCTCCACAAAAACCAGCACTATAAATTACTATTACATCTCTACTCTGATCTACCTCTCTTCTTTACCTCCCTCACCCCAACCTCAATTCACCTACCTACCTATCATAAGGCGAGTACCCCAACCCATCATCCTGCTCCTCCTCATTCGTTCCGTCCATGTAAAACGCATCTGGCAGATCCTCGCCATCGCCCACCGGACCCTCTAGATACCTAGGTACGTCTTCGCCGTCGCCGACCGTGTGGTCGTAGATGCCGAGTGGCGTGTCTTCACCATCACCGGCGTAATCGTAAACGCCAGGTGGTGTGTCCTCGCCATCACCAATATACGCGCCATCTTCGTAGCCATACTCATGCTCATGCTCATACCCATGCTCATGCTCATACCCATGCCCATGCTCATCCTGCTCCTTATCATGATAATACTCCGGCCCAGGCGCATATCCCTCAGCAGGCTTAGCATCATACCCATACGCACCGCAATCCTTAGCGGTCACAGTAGCAGTCGCAGCAGGAACGTGTTTCGTAGTTGTTTCTGCGACCGCGCCTTGGTCGAGGTACTTTGCGCATGCGATGTTGATGGCCGAGGCGTCGTATTGAACGAGGCGGCAGGGGACATCGTAGTCTGGGCAGTAGATGTCGCGTTTGTAGACGGCTGGGTAGCCGGTTGCGGCGACGTAGATGGTGCTTGTGCTGTGGTGGATGGGTTAATTTTAGGAGAGGGGTCGGAGAAGGGATGAGGGAGGGTGGGGAGAGGGTGGTACGGACGTGGTGTAGGTGATTGTAGTGGTGGTTAAGATGGTGATAACGTTTGGTTCGTAGCCTGTACCATATTCTGTCGGTTCTGGTGCCTGTGAAATTCGTTGTAAGCCAGTGACTCGGTACCGGTTTGGAAACCCAAATATACACATACAGGAGTGATGGGATATCCAGGCGAAGTGGGACCACAAGGCGTAGTTGTCGTTACCGTAACCGGTGCATCAGTCACCCAGCATGTCTCTACGGGCTCCTGGTAGTGAACGTAGTTTGCACAAAACGGCACCGCGTTGCTCCTGTCAAACGTATTCAAGACGGCGAGGACAGCCCAGACTTGGTCGTCCTGGTAGGCACGCGCGACGCTGGTCAAAGTGGCTAGGGTACCGAGGGCCAAGCTGGCCATGCGGCTGTGGTATGGCATTGTGGAGAGGATGTGCTTGTCTCAAGGGGGGGGGCTACGGGTGAAACCTCAATCAGATTGAAAACGAGTGAAGAATGAGATTGTATTATATTGCGAGACAATAGGAATCAGAAAGGGGCGGGCAACTACTTTTGAGATTCGAGACATAGCATGTATGGCTGTATATTTCTTTGATCAGTACAGACTGTGTCGCGAACGTTTCGTGGACTACCGCATTCGGATCAAGCCAGCCAAAAAAAAAATTACCGCTTTGGGTCAGTGCGGTTACACAAATCGGTGTTGAGGCTCATTATGACTACGGGAAAAACGTTCGGCAATGCGGAACCGAATCTGTGTACTACTACCGACGCGGAGTATGGACTTAGTGCTTGTAGACTAGTTTGTTGTTGTTTATAGAAGATTGCATTCCTGGGATGTATGTTTTGGGCTTAGAGGTCCACTGATCTTCCAACGCGACTGTGTGCGGGTGCTGTGAAGTACCTATTACAATGCCTTGAGGAGACCTTCGTGTTTAACGCTCCAACCGGCGTCACGGGGAAAGCCTGGTGCGTGACCTTTTGAGCCGTGCCAGCCGGCAGCGCAGTACGCGATTGCGTAGAGGAAGCCGGCATTGCCGGGCATGAAAGGGGGAGGAGTGCCCCCATCACCACCGCGGATAGCGAAGCCCGCATCGTCAAACTTCCAGTAATCATATGCGGTGAGATGGTAGAGGGCACGTTCCGGGTTCCCAATCCGTGCGCTGTTGATGGCGAGGACGGGACGGCCCCAGCCGCGTATCTTCTTGTCGCCCCAGACTTGCCAGATTTTGTCTGCGGTGCGGAGAGCGACTTGGGGGTCTACGGCAGGCGTGTCGGGCAGCACACCTTGCATCATGATGAGGCTGCGTGGGTCGCCGTTGAGCTTCGTGTCGTTCCACCAGGAGCTATCCAGACCATCGTAGACGGCGTAGAGACCATCAATTTGCGGCGGAAGTGCGAGGTTCTGAGCGACATGTGTCCATTTCTCTGGGACTGGTTGATTGAGCTTGTACTTCCATTCTGCAGCAGCATCCAAGCCCCATCTCCAATATGCAATCTCATATGCCAAGTTGCGTGTGGAGTTGGGAGGTGTATTTTCCGTAACACCGTAAGATGGAGGGCCGAGGTCATACTTGCCCGACGTTGCGTTTAGCCACGCGTAGGATGCCATGTAATCGGCAGAAGCAGTCAGCACCGTGTCCCATTTCTCAAGTGTCTCTCGTGTAGGATGTGCTTGATAGGCTAGTTGCGCAAGGTAGAATGGGTGGGGTTGTTGCCAGAGGAGGACTGCGTTGATGTCGCCGGGTGAGTTCACTCCAGTATTTAGCTCAGTCATTTTGGGCCACCGGGCACCTTCCCATCCCATTGACTTTGCACGAGCTAGAGATGAGGGCAGGAGGGTCTCGTATAGTGCTGGGAAGATGTTGTCGAAGTACTTTTGCTTGCCCTATCACGACATCAGCATAGAGGCGACGAGTAGGCCAGGATGAAATACCCAAGTTGCCCAATGCGCATTGTGCCAGATGAGCATTTCCATGTGGAACTTTCCTGCTTCGAGTTAATATTCTCATATGATAGGCCATGCTTATAGTATAACTCACCGTACCCTAAAGTTGTTAGTCCTCATTCAACTGTTGCAAAATTGATCACCACACTTACAGCCATTGTTCATCAGCCCACTCTCCTGAGGCGACTGCCCATTGGCTGCACTATTAACCCGAACATGATACTGCGATTTGATGATGCGGCGCTGAAGCTCAGTCGCATTTGGGTTTGTAGACTCCGTCAAATCAACAAAGCCTCCGTCTTCCCAATACTCATGCCAGTCCTTTGTATTCTTCTCTTGTATCTGCTCCGGCAATTCCGGAACCTGTTGATCAAACGCAAAGTGAGCAGTGAGCGCAAGTGAAGATGAGTTCGCCTGGGTGCTAATGGTATAGCGGTGCGCGGTGATTGATGTGGAGTTGGGGGGCTCATCTCTACATAGCCTCAATGGCGTTTTTTTCGGCCATCGGAGATTGACAAAGTACTGGAGTTCTTGCATGTTGTGCTGTATATGCGCCGATGTCTGGTTGGCTCCATCCTCCATTAGGGTTGTAGTGTGATTGTTCGGAAAGTCATAAACGCCGGCAAAAACCTATCTAGAGTTTAATCCACGCACAAAGTATACGAACTGAGTGCCATGCTCACCTCGTATTTGTACGTAGTAGTATGAATCGGAGGGTACGGAAAGTCCATCTCAACCTGCAAATCTCCACTTGCAACCAAATCAGACTCGATGCTGAATGCAACAGCATCAGAATCGAAATCGCCCTGGGTAACAATCTTCACAGCCTTGCCATCGACTTTGAATGTCGACGTGATGGTGCCGTTCCATAGTTCAAGCACTTGACCTGGCTCGGTAATCAAAGATCGGTCGAGTGTGGCCTGTTTGTATTTGAGACCAATACGACCAAGGTTCACTCGATTAGGGTTAGCAATCAACCATTGCGTCGCTTGCTTTAACTTTGGATCGGGAAAATCATAGTAGACTTCGCGCCCATACGTCTCTCGCATGGCCCCTTTATAATCGGAAGGCAGCTCCCTTGAAGTGTCAGCGTCGTCACAGATGATAATGATGATGCAGAGACCCCGTACCCGTTTGCTGGAAGTGAGTCATTATGCCATGCCCAGCTTGAAAGCGTGTTGAAAGGAAGAAACGTCTTTGAATAGATTGTCAGCGGTCTGCTTGAGCTATCACTACAAAGCGACTTGCCTGCATCCCCGTGTTGTCTACATTGAAGGCGAAATTACCGTTGCCAACTTGCAAGGGTGTAGTCTCATTGTCTATGAGGTTATTACGAATGATGTTGAATTGCGAAACGACGCGTTGCCTGCGAGGAGTCAATAGATGTACAAAGCCGGGATGAAGTTATCCTTCTACCTGTCAATTCTGCCATATGCCACACATGGATTTACCAGCAAAATGACGAGACTAGTCACAGTAAGCATCATCTTGGACTACGTGATCCACTTTTGATCCGAAGCTTTGGGTGTAGAAGGAACCAGGGATAGAACTAGAGCAGTAGTATTGGCTAGCCTTTGTATCTAAATGCTTGTATACATTTGCGCTCTTAGCAACGTTACCCCGTGGGGTAGATCGTGTTCTCGGTGTAACTGAACACCGAGGTCCCTTCTTTTAGATTTACGATGGTGATCATTCGGTAATGTCGATTTGTCGCTTACAGCCAGTCTGTCATTTTCCGTGAATTTTTCCGTCGACATCTGATTGCACAGTTGATGGGATCGGGTAGCATGCGTCGCTTTAAGGAATGTGATTGTTGATGAGGTACCAGACTAGGTAAATCCTCGATTTATGCAATTATACGGGAGATTCTCGTGACTGGTAATGCATGTTCGATAGCTGGGTTGAGATGCAAGCAACTGGTTCTCTCGCGGTGAAGAAGTGCAATACTAGATCTGACGTAATTCTCCCGAAACCGCCCTTGACGTTAAAATCAACCCCATTCATAAAGACACATTTCCCAGGCCCAATTCCAGTTAAGATAGCTTCCACCTGGCTGACATACCATGGATGTCGTCTCACGTCACAATCAGGGCTTGCTTTGCATCTTCCGTGGATCAAAACATCCTCATTAACAATTGAATCCCCTACACAGCAGAGCTCAAACACCACACCATGACACCAATCCCAAGCCCTCAAACCACACAACTACTGCCACCTAAACGCATCCCCCGGCAACAGAAAATTCGCATCCTCAAACGTAATCACACGATCCATATCCAGAAACTGGGCATCCATGAAGGCGTCCGACAAATTGATCAAAGACTGATCTTGCACGCTGTGATGCTTTCCCGTGCCGCCAACAGCGGAATAGGGTGCTGTGGAGCCGGGTGTGGGCGCTGTGTTGGGGGCGGTGTGGTACATGGGCGGGGCGTTGTAAGTGTTTAAACTCTGTTGGGGCGTGTATATCGGTGGGATTGTTCCGGGTGAGAGCATAGAGCCTGGTATGAGGCTTCCACGCTGCTGCTGTTCGTAGAGGGCTGGCGATGCTGCGGGCTCGGTGCGGGTGGTGATGGTGGAGTGTCTCCTTATTGCGTTGGGCGTGGGTTGGGGGTCGTTTAGGCTGTGTGAACGGGCGTGGTGGGACATTTGGTTGCGTTCGTGCAAGAGGGTGCCAGATCGGCAGTGTGAGTTTGGTGTGGATACGTAGGCTGGGCTGAGCTGAGACTGGGCGTCGGCTGAGAGGCTGGAGTGGTCGTAGAAGTTGAATCTGAAAAGTGTGTCGTGCTGACAGGCGTCCAACAGTCGCTCGAGATTTGCAGCGTAGGTACCAGGCTGATTGCCGGGTTCGACGTCTGTCGTGCCTTTGCTACGCTCGGCTTTGTCCCTCCATCTTGATGACATTTCCCACAGGTCGCGGATCAGATTCTGGAATTCGGGTCGAAGGGGTCGTTTTGTGCTTTGGTGTTCGAAAAGCAGGGCTTTGGCTGCTATGTATGCGCAGAATGCGAATTGGACGTTCACGAATGGTATCAGGGTATGCGCGAGAAATTTGTCGACAATGTTTGATGTTTCCACGGCAGCTAGCACGCAAGTCTGAGCGCTGCATTCTTTCGGTAAAGCAACATAGTCTTTCCATGCTGAAGCGGGGTAGGCGATAGGATGGTGCAGCAATATCATGGAAGTATTGTGCGTGATATGTGCAAGTGTCAGGTTCGGATCCATGTCGATGACTGTAGTGTCCGAGGATATATTTGAGTCCTTCCACCGGGGAGGCAGGAAGATCTTCCAATTCACCAGCCTCAGGTCCAGCTCTTTGAATCGCGTCAGCCAGCTGATAGCATGTTCCTTGTCTTGCCAATTGATGCGCTGTTGTAGGAAGAAAGTTGTGACCTGGCTTAGACTCTCGGTCGCTTCTACACAGTAAGCAAACGCACCCAGTTTCGATGCATCAATGAAGCCATTTGCCGAGCTCGGACTTGCACCAATACCACCATGTTGCTCCACTGCCGGGTCTTCCTCGTTGTACTGAGGGGGAACGTGGGCCAGAGACCGTCCAATTCTCGCGGCAGCTTTGTTCCAGATACCGAAGAATGGGGTGATCACGGGCTCTTCTCGCGTAAAGTACCCTCCATCTGCTGGTAGTCTACGATGAACGTCGTCAGCTGTAAGGCTAGTGTTCCATCCGGTCGATACGCTACAGAAGCGATCGAGGAGAAACACTATCCAAAAAAGCCTCCGACGCTCTTCCAGCTCCGTCCAATCATTTGAAGGGGGTACCAGGCGCACAGGAGTCATCAACGACCCCGACTGTGATGAAGTTGGCTCGGTAGTAAGCTGTAGGTAATCAATCGTCCTGGTAAGCGATCCTATCAACGGCCATGCCCTATTTGTTTGACCATCGTTGAGCTAAACGAGATGAGCTTCTTTCACTATGCGTGGGTACCAGCACAACTTACAAAACTGAACACGAGACAGATGAGGGCTTGTAGACTCTCGACAGACACATTACGCAACGCATGCGTCTCCACGAGCGCACATGAGAGCTTCGTCTGTTGACGTACTTCGTCTTCGTCAAGAAACAAGGCGTCTCGCTCCATGTGACGCAAACATATGGCGACTATGGCGTGTAGGACGATTTGTGTCCCTGCATCTCTGACGCCCTCTCGGACCCTGGTTTGGAGCCGTCTCTTGTTTAAAAAAGGGATCCAATGGTGAAAGGAGATGCAGAAGAAGTCCGCAACCTTTTCTAGTAGCGGTTGAGAAGGTAGGGATTGCGCGATGTCCACGTCTTCTTGGAAGTAGAGCCAGTTTGGGGCAGAGTGCTGCTCAAATCGTCGCTTCAATGGATTGGCGATATGATCTCCAGGCATCTGTACGCTTGGACTCTCCTCTACTGTGCTCCCCACATGTCGTTGTTGGGAGTCTGTTCGAGTGACATGAGTCTCTTCAACATCCGCTTTGGATGCCTGGTTGATCTGCTGAGGATGCGAGCCATGGTCCTTTGGCGTCACATCATCAACATTAAACTGTGGTCGAATACCTCCATTAGCATCCAAAAGGATCCGTTCGAGGAATGCTAGAGGCTGTTAGGGGAGCTCCACCAATCGATACTGGAATGGAAGACATGCCTACGCGGCGCGTCAACGCCTCGACAGCGCCCGGTTTTAACCCGGGTTTCTGCTTGGGCTGATAAACACATTCACTCGCTATGCCTCTCCATCAGCGAAACTTGCCCGTCTCCCATTCCCAACGGCACAGCACACAACACTCACACAGTCGCAAACAATGGCCACAGGTTGGTGTTTCGCGCGAGCAGCGCAGCTTCCTCCTCTTGCAGTTTGTACACGCCGGCACGTCGTCTCCACCAACCGAGACTGGGCCCTCGTCGTCACCACCAGCGACAGAATAATTGGTCCATCCAGCCGACATCAGCGCAACATCTCTTAGGCCGTCTGGGGAAGGTTGTGACGGTTGTGGAGGGAGCGTGGAACGCGGGCATCGGGTTAAATCATGGCTTCTCCACTCGAGAAAACCCCCGCGAAGCGAGGTACCGGTACCGTACTTACCGTAACCCGCGTTTCGTTTCGGTTGATCCGCCGACGGAACGCCTGCACATTGTAGATGAGTACAGTAGTCTCTCAATGGTACCGAGGGGCTATGGAAGCATTATGACGGTGCCCGACTGTATGTTGTACTGCGGAAGGGCTTCCTTGTTGAGTACTGGTAGTTCGCGCTGATGTGTGGCACTGATGGAACCTCCGACGATTCATTCAACACGTACCGGTACCGGCATGTACCACGTAATCACGCGTGCTTTTATCCTGACGACGAACGGTTTTCAGGTACAAAGCTATACGTAGTATCAGCAATAGGCTCCAAATGTCGACTTGATCTTTAGACTGCCCCTAGCACATGCCGTCTCTACCTGTCCGAACAGAGCACAACACCCATCTCTACCGTTGACTAGGTATCGTACCGTACCTCAGGCCATATATACAACTCCAGGCCATAAACCCAACCTCATATCCATACGGAAGCTTCAACGACGACATCAACTCCCTCCATAAACCGACCAACAAACAAACCAACAATCCCTCCCGTCCCCACGTGCTGGTACGATTGCTTTGGCTACTAT